GGGGGGGGGTGGTGGAGGAAAAGGGGCTGCTTCAGCGAGAGCTCGTCCCTCTGAGCTCCAGCCTCGGGAACAAGTCAACACAAAAATACACCTTCTCAAGGGCTCCCAGACCTAGGCAATGCACAGGGACGCCAGCCGTGGGCTCTCCTCTCAGCCGTAGCTAACAAGTGCCTGAAACTGAGGTACCTGCTCAAATTAATCAAAGCAATAGGACTTAATTTGATTGGGTATCTTTTTACACCGATACGATGTTCAGTATTGTTAACCAAAATGTAAAATAACGTGTTGCTTTTTTGGGTGTTTTAGTTTGGTTTGACTCCACGGGAGCGTAGTGACTGGTCTCCCGTGGACCTGCCCTGCCTCCCAGCTGGGTGTGAACAGGTGACACTTGGAGGTGCTCAGCTTTTGAATGCATTCCTGTGCTGTCCACCAAGGGGTGGGCCTTGGCTTCAGCTGCACGTCCTGCCTCTTGTTGGGGTTGTTATTTTTCGAAAGGAAGACATTTAGGGGCTTTCTGTGTGTAAGGTGGAAACAATTCCAAGTAGAGCTCCCTCACCCTTTCCCACCAGGCAGCTCCAGAGCCAGGATGTGGTCCCACACACGTGGGTGGTCACAGGGTGTGCAGGGAGTTGTCACCTTGGGGGGGTGTGGTGGTGCAGCACAGGGGGACAGGCAAGGAGGCTCCAGCCCAGGAGGGTGTCTAAGGGCTGTACCATGTTCTTCAGCTAGAGGCAGCTTTGGAATAACAGAGTATTTATTAATTAGCACTAAGGTATTAACATCTCCATAATCAGTGTTAGGACTCTGAGGAGCATTGCAGTTCAGTTCCTCGTGCAGAGATCAGCCTGTGCCCTGCTCCCTAGGATTCACACCCTGCTCCAGCTCCACATTCCTTGGACAATCCAAATTCCCTGCTAAGGAGCAGTTGTTCAGTTCAGCCCAGCCTCAAAATCCCGGTAGGTTCCAGCTTATCCAGTGCATTTTCAAAGCTTAAAAAGTGAGATGAGACCAACTGGAGCAGCATGGTGTGTCCCTCCCCACCCCTGCTGCCACTTCGCACCAGTATCCCCAGTATCCCAGAGCAGCAAGGCCCTCTTCTCAGACATGAAGAACTGGACTGGAGAGAAGTTTGTACTTCCCAAGATACACTTTGCTTACAGCTTTTACCTTGCCTGGTCTCATTGCATCAATATGTTAATTGTAAAATTTATTGTATAGTATTTAACCACTGAAGTTCTTTTTCTTTTACGTTGTGCTTATGTGAACCACTGGTGAAGGTCCCATTTTTTTTTAATTTTTTTTTTTTTTCCCCCCCTTGGATAATGTGTAGTTATATGATAATCTGTTTTTAAATGTACAGATATTTTGCTACAAAATTGGTGCAGTTTTTTATGGTTTTTACACATCTCTTTTATTCCCACTTTAGCCTCCGGGTAATATTGTAAATATTGTTTAAAAAAAAACCAACAACCCAACAAATGCATCAGCCTGTGCTATACAATCTGAATGTTATTTTAACTTATAGTTTTTGTTTTTGTATTTAACTAAATGGACAGTTTGGGGCTCAAAAGTTACCACATTGACCTCTGCTTACCTAGTTACAGGAAGTTTACTTTAAAAACTGCCACCTTCTTGCATCTACAGCAACGTGTACTTGACCTGCTAAAGAGAACATGCCAACCCACCTCCTTCTTCACTGGCAGTGACAGAAGAGCCTTAACCTGCCTAAGGAAATTTAGCAATTAATTTAATAAGCTGTTAGGCAAAGGGTTAACAGCACTAGCTCTCTCATTCTTCAGCTCAAAGGTATTTTTTTAATTGAAGACAAAAATGATCTAGAATATAAGTAGAATATAAAGCTGGCATGTTCTCTTTAATATTTTTCTAGTAATAGACCTGCTTCTTAGCAATATTAGAAGTGTTTTATAAAAGCAGTTCATGTTACTTTCCTGGTCTGTTCCTGGCATAAGATCAAATAAACTATTTACACTACTACACAGTCATCCAGGTGGGGTTTTTGTTGGGTGGGGGTTTGGTTTTGTCACCTTTGCCTATGGTTTTTTTTCCACAATTGGTTGTATTTTGCAGATGAACAGCTGGAGCTCTCAGCAGTGGCAGAGAAAGCAGGTGCTGCTTTGGGGTGTGGGTGGTGCTGTTGTGTTGGGTTGTTTTGTTGGGTTTTTTTTTTTTAAAATATCACTCATTCTGCTTTTGTTCAATGTGTCCTGCTGGGCTGGGAGCTGTGTGGGTGCAGCAGGACCCAGCCCCTTCTTGGTTTGCCATAAATACTTGAAAAACAACAACACTAACACCTAAGGGCTAATCTTAAAAACTTCATACTTAATTCAAAATTCAGATTCAATTTCATGCAGGGTTTAACAAAGCAATGACCATGGGATGCAGGAGTGGGTGCCTAGGAGCTGGAACTCCTGGGATGAGATTGGAACAACCCCAGCACAGCAAATACCACCAGAGTTAACCACTGGACCATCCTTGCCATGCAAAAATAACCAATTTTCCTGCTGAAAATGCTTTTGAATTCAAGGCCAGAACAGAGCATTTGAGCTCAGTGGGTCCTTGAGCCAGGATTGTTTTGCAAGGGGCCCTTTATGATGCAAGACAGATATACAAAAATAACCCCTGAGATTAATTTACATTTGCAGGGTTACTATTATTATTAGTAGTAGTATAATATATTACATATAATATATTATATATTATCATTATTATTGTTATTATTTATTATTATTATTAACTGCCCCTACAGTTTGTCTTTCAGGGGACTAAATTCAATCTCCAATAGGATTTTAAGAGGTGTGAAGCATGACCCCACCCTGGCATGAAAACATGCTGGAAAAAAACATGCTGAAAACCTGGGGGGGATTTATGCACCAGGACCAGCTGGTCATGTATTAGTAGGGACAAATGCACTGAGAGGGAAGCTGAGCTTTACCTGGTCCTCAGCTAGATTCTGTGAGCTTAAAGCCACCAAGCAGGAGAGAATTTATCAGAGCTGCACAGAGGATTTAAAACTAGAAATAAATACTAGCACACACTTGAAGATAAGGTTTAATAACTGATAAAAATGTACAAAAATATTCCCACCAGCAAGCAAAGGTTCCCCAGCATGTCCCACAGCAGCCACTGCCTGTCCCCATGTGGGGCTGCCACCACCTCCCCTGGCCAGGGGGCAAATGGGAGATGGGGCTTCAGCTGCTCCTGGGGCTCCAGAGCTCATCCCTGTCCCAGCCACAGCTGCCAGCAGAGCCCGTGGTACATTCTTCAGCAGGTGCTTAAGGCAACACATTTCAATTCATTTACAATTTGATTAATTTTTTTTAAAACTTTTCTTAATGTGAAGATAAAAGCTGAACTCACCCCTCTGGCTGCCCCGGGTGGGGTTTGGGGGAACACAGGAGGGGGCTGGGAGGGGCAGCTGGCTCCTCACATCCCCACCAACAGCAGCTCCAGGGCTTGGGAAGTTTGCTGTGAAAATGCCCTCTGAGAGAGTCCTCGGACAATGAGTCTCAGCTGGGAAGTCAAGTCCTGTGTTTTGTACAAAAGCTCCAGGTGGGCTTGGCCAGTGACCCAGCTGACAAGAGAGCAATCCCAATGCCTGCTGGGTTTTTGCAGTACAGATCAAGAAACGGATTCATTCCTCCCCTTCCATTGCCTTCCCCTTTCCAAAAAAAAAGCCCCAACACATCCATGAAACAAACTGAAACTACAAGAAACTATATTAATTAAGAGAATCTCTTTCTAAAAATGACAATGTTACCTGCCTACCCTGGCCAGGAACAGCAGCATTACCACCTTTCTAGGAAGGCCCATACTTCAGAGCTGCCTAGAAAGGTGCCAACACTCCCCTGGGCCTGCAGCTGGGACTGGGTGTGCAGGGAGAGACCTCCTGGCATGGTGCTCCCTCCCTGGGGAGCAGAGCACCTGCCCACCTCCCCCCTCACCTCTGCACTCACAATTTCATTCACTGTTCTACATTTGCTGCCAGGCCCACAACAGTAGTACTTGAATGTATGGATGGGGTAAAATTACAACCCACTGTTGTTTAACAATGGAACTCAGGAGATTGGAACCCACGTCCTGAATTAGACATTGGTTTCTTTTATTATGCCACAATGTAAACATATTTGGTATAAATAATGTTCTCATTGATCTTCATCCAGTTGTTCCAAAAGAGTCCTCCTCTGCTTTTCCAACTCCCCCTCGCTCAGCTCACTGCCAGAGGTGTCCCAGTCCCCCTGCAGAGAGAAGGAAGGTCAGTGGCAGCACCACCTCTTCTCCAGGCTGTGCCCCCAGCAGGGACAGAGCTGGAAGCACGTGGAGCAGGAGGCTGCTCCAGGCCCTGCTCAGGAGCTACTATGGCCAGAAGGAGTGGGGAGAAGAGGGGGACATGCCAGCCAAGGCCAGGTCCTGCTGCAGCCTGTC